TACCATTAGACCATTGAACCGTCACCTACCCAAAGAAATGTTGGGGTGATCCATGTTTTTTTAAAGGCGTTAAGGATACATCAGTTTCTTAGAGAATAGTTCCAACGTCACGCATTTTATACTGTTTTACATTACTGCTGTTTTGCTTGGAAAGGTTTTTTGAAATGCTAAGGAGGAAATGGCTACTCTTCACTCTGGCTGTGTACATGATGCCTATTTTTATAAAGACAAAGGTACTTAACATTCTGTTGAGAGTTATTTTCACTTCTAATCTTGTCTTTTTTGGCAATTATCTGGGACAAAATAAATGTTTAATACTTCTATCCTGTATATCTCGAAACAGTGAACAAAAGAACGGTGTGCGAATACGTCAAACATTTATAAAGTGTAATTTTATCACCCTAGGCAATTTCAAACTTCTTTGTGTTGTAGCTTGAATAAATGTCAGGAACTCCCCCATCCCATTTCCCTTAATCTAAGATGTAAACAGCCATCAATCAATGTCCTCTGTTATAATTTGTTCAGATAACTAATGAACATCTGATATTGTTCCTCGTATCATTAGAATAGATTCTGAATTCAAGGTGGATCTCAGTGTGTTCTGAGGCAAATTACTCAGAATAATAGCATTTTTGAAAATATAATTTTGGAACTTTACGTTTGATTAGGTTCTCATAACCTCAACAGCCCAGGAGGGCAATTAATTCAACGGTCCTCTGCTATCGCTTCACATGGAGCTTCTTTTGTCTTTGTCAACACTTTGTTTTTTTTCCTCTTATGTTCGTTGTTTTTGAATGTTTGCCCAATTCTCCATTAAATGATGTTTCATTCAATTTGTTTGTTGTTATAGCCACAAGGAATTTCTGAATGTTGTTGCCTCCTTGTTGTGAATTAGCTGATTTTTGCAAGCAATACTTTACCCACTTAAAATATGTTGCGATCACAATCTCTCGCTCAACAGCCAAACAAAGGATGTGTTTCAAATGAATCTGGGGCTTCAAATATTAGACGCCTCAATCAAACGCTTTTGCATCTGTTTCCTGATGAGAAAGAAGGTGAAGGCAAAATGTGTCTTCACCTTTTGTAATCAGATCTTACCATTTTCAACTAATCTCACAGCCCACTTCAAGAAAATGAAGAATTCTTAAAAGTTCCACATTGTACCAACTTGACTGGGCTCACTTAAAATTATTTGGTCAGCCTTCTACTTCTCATTTCTATGGGATCTTGCTGTCCCAGAAGTGGCTGCCATGTTCTCTGCTTAGCATCAATTCTATCAAATCAAATTATCAAGCATTCTATGTGGGAGCATAACAGCTTGGTACAGCAACTGCTCTGCCCAGGACTGCAAGAAACTACAGAAAATTGTGTGCACAGCCCAGACCATCATGAAAGCCAACCTCCCACCTTGGACTCCATCTACACTTCTCGCTGCCGCAGAAAGGCTGCCAACATCATCAAAGACCCCTTCCACCCGTAATGCTCTCATCCAACCTCTTCCATCAGACAGAGATAGAGAAGTTTAAACACACACACCAACAGGCTCATAAGCAGCATTTTCTTTGCTGTTATTAGACTGCTCAATGGACCTCTCTAATTTCAAACTAATGTTATCCTTGCCATTGTGCACCTCCTGTGCAGTCGTAGCCTTGTATGCCTCACTCTGTAAGCACCCTACGATCTATATATCCTTGATTGTTATAATCTGACTGTATGGCTCGCAAAACAAGAGTTTTCACTGTACTTAGGCACATGTGGCAACAATGAATCAAATCACATCAAATCAAATCAAATTGCTGCCTTCCAAAATAAATTTGAGGGACACTTTCTTGACACCTGTGGTGTGATGCAGATGAATACCTGTCTTCATTACACCTGTGCATTGCCCTGGGCTCTGTCCCATCAAATGCACCTTTTCTTTAGATAGTTCATGTTATTCTGAGCACACCTGGTTTCTTCACTGTTTTAAACAAATTCGAATGAACTCCATTTAGTCTGAACAGTATCCCTGGCAAACAATTACGGAGCTTAATTATTCCGGTTCCAACCTAATATTTCATGCAATGTACCTGAATTGTTGCAAAGGACATGCGTTTAGCTTTTAATTAAGCCACCTGGCACCAATGAATTGCAGATTTGAAGATAGTGGTGGATAACTTTTGATGCACAGTTCACCTTGTGACTTTCCACTGAAAATGTATTAATTGTCTTGTGCTGCACACTGGGCAAGTGCTGAGTGTTATTCCCATTCCTACATTCACATCCACTGAGCGGTCCATTCATTCAGCCAGATAGAATCCCTACAGTGTCAAAGTAGGTCATTCGGCCACACCGATCCTATGAAGAGCAGCCCTACCCAGACCCAGGTCCAAACCCCCCCTACCATTTCCCTGTAGCCCTGCATTTCCTATGGCTAACCCGCCTGGCCTGCTGTCCCAAAAATGGCTGCCACGTTTCTCGATTTAACATCAATTCTATCAAATCACCAAGCATTCTGTGTGGGTGCGTAACAGCTTGGTACAGCTGCTCTGCCCAGGAATGTAAGAAACTACAGAGAGTTGTGTGCACTGGACACCAAGGATAATTTAGCACGGCCAATCCACCTAACCTGCACATCTTTGGACTGTGGGAGAAAACTGGAGCACCCGGAGGAAACACACACAGACACGGGGAGAACATGTAAACTCTAGACAGACAGTTGCCCAAGGCTGGAATCAAACCCAGGTCCTTGGCACTAAGAGGCAGCAGTGTTAACCACTGAGCCAGCATCTGCCTTTGGCTTTGCTAGAAACAGTGATGCTGCTTCATTTGGGTTTTCTCTCTGCCCTGCATCATCTAAATGCCTGGTGTGTAAATGTCACCCTTTGAGTTGGCAAAATACCCAATAGTGTGGCACAGGCAGTGATGAGGCACCTGTTTGCTTGATAGAACAATTTCATGTGTAGTAGTATCTCAGAACATTCTTTACTGCCTGCTGCCCCTGCATGCTTACCTTCAGCAACTGGTGCACAAGGATACCCAGGTCCCGCTGCACACCCCCCTCTCCCACATTAAAGCTATTTTCATGTAGCAATCTGCCTTCTGTCTGGTTTGCCTTATAATGTCCATTCTTAATCTTCAGGTTAATCTGCTGGCATTTGGAGTCATTATCTACAAAGTATTCCGACACACTTCCATGTTGAAACCAGAAGTGAGCTGCTATGAAAATATTAGGTAAGTTTGAAACCAAGGACACATCTAGTATTTTATGATGAAATTTGTTGACAAAACAAGCTTTTGGGTTTGGCTTATGGTTTTAAAAAAACTTCTCTGTCACTGCCACCATTTCTTTTATTTCTGTAATGAAATATAATATTTTCTGAAGTGTTTCATAGAGTCATAGAGCACAGAAACAGACCCTTCAATCCAACCAGTCCATGCCATCCATAACCCCAAACTAAACTAGTCTGACCTGCCTGTGCTTGGTCCATATCCCTGCAAACCTTTTCTATTCATGTACTTATCTAGATGTCTTTTAAACATTGTAACTGTACCCGTTTCAAAAGCTTTCTCTGGAAGTTGATTCCACACATGAACCACTCAACCAATATTTCAAATATACTCACCTCATTGAATCATAGGATCCCTACAGTGTGGAAACAGGTCCTTTGGCCCAACAAGTCCACACCAACCCTCAGAGCATCCCACCCAGACCCATCCCCCTATGACCCACCTAATCTGCACATCCATGAACACTAGGAGCAATTTTGCATGGTCAACCACCTACCCTGCACATCTTTGGACTGTGGGAGGAAACCCATGCAGACATGGGGAGAACATGCAAACTCCACACAGACAGTCATCTGAGGTGGAACTGAACCCAGGTTTCTGGTGCTTTGAGGCAGCAGTGCTAACCACTGAGCCACCATTCCACTCCAAATCCTTATGTTGATTATTATGGGAATTATAATAGGGGAGGCAATGGTCTAGTGGTATTATTGCTGGACTGTTATTCTAGAGACCCAGATAACATTCTGGGGACCTGGGTTTGAATCCAGCCATGGCAGATCGTGGAATTTAAATTCAATAAAATATCTGGAATTAAGAATCTAATGATGACCATGAATCCATTACCAATTGTCGGGAAAAACTCATCTGTTTCACTAATGCCCTTTAGGGAAGGAAATTGCCATCCTTACCTGGTCTGGTCTAAATGTGACTCCAGGTCCACAGCAATGTAGTTGACTCTGAATTGCCCTGTCGGCATTTAGGGATGGACAACAAATGCTGCCTGGTCAGCGATATACTCATCCCATTAATGAATAAAGGAAAACAAAATATGAAGGTAGATATTTGTGTAATCACTAAAGTAGCCAACTTACAAAATATAGTGTGATTCTATCTAATAATGGATAGGGTTATTCTGTGGGATCGCCGAATCATAGAATCACAAAATATGGAGGAGGCCCTTCAGCCCATCAAGGCTGTACTGCCAAAGCTACGTTAAATCTATACTAGTCCCACTTTCTAGCACTAGGCCCATAGCCTTGAGTGTTATGAGACTTCAAGTGCTCGTCCAAGTATTATTTTTAAAGGTTGTGAGGCGTTTTGCCAGAACAAACCCTCCCAGGCCGTGTATTCTGAATCCCCACCACCGTCTGAGTGAAAAAAACTCAAATCCCCGCTGAACATAAAAACCAAAATAACTGGTGGATGCTGTAAATCAGGAACAAAAACAGAAGTTGCTGGAAAAGCTCTGGCAGCATCTGTGAAGAAAAAATCAGAGTTAACGTTTCGGGTCTGGTGACCCTTCCTCAGTTCTGCTTTCTATCCACCTTGTCAATGCCCCTCAGAATCTTACACATCTTAACACCCTTCAACCTTCCCTGTTCCTAAAAAAATAGCTTGAGCTTATCCAGCCTCTCTTCTTGGCTAAAACGCGCTATCCAGGCATCATCTTGGTGAATGTGAAACAAAAAGCAGAAATTGCTAGAAGAACTCAGGAGGTTTGGCAGCAACTGTGAAGAGAAAGCAGAGTTAATGTTCCAAGTCCAATGACTGGAGTCCAACATCAATGGACCCAAAGTTTCTCCAGGAATTGCTGTTTTTGTCTCAGATTTCTAGCATCCACAGTTCTTTGTTTTATATCCTGATGAATCTCCTCTGCACCCCCTCCAGTGCAATCGTATCCTTCCTAAAGTGCAGGGATCAAAACTTCATGTCGTCCTTCAGTTGTGGCCTAACCAAAGTCCTGTACAGCTCCAACAAAACCTCCTTGCAATTTTAGTGTATGCCACTACTGATAAACTCAAGTGCTCTATATGCCTTCTTAACCATCTTATTGACCTACCATGCCACCACCAGGGTTCCGTCTACAAGCATCCAAAGATCCCTCCCTTCCTTTGAGCTTCATTCCATTCATTGAGTACTCCTAATCGATTGCAGATACAATGAAATTGTCTAATTCTGGAGTTGTATGAACAGAATGGTCTTAGGACGGTTCAGAACACAATAGGTAAATCAGTTAGGTTAGGTCAAGTTGTAATTAGGTAACTCAATAACACCATTTGATAGTGTGATTCAAGGCCTAATTGTTAGAGTGGCTAAAAACATATTGACAGGGTGGTACACTCAGTAACGGGCAAGGTGACACAGTGACAGCAAAAACAGGGCCATTCAAGACTACCTTCAGTGTGCAATAGACTGGGTGCCTCAGTGATCTAGTGAATAGGGCATCTCAGTCGCACAATACACGGCATGGGGCCATGGTTATAGTGAACAGGATTGCTCTATGGCACGGTTGTCAAGATGGTGCAAAATGTATTGAAAAATGTAACTTGCTGAAGAAATGGATTCATTTTCAAATACATGCTCACACCTTTGCCTGACACACCTGCCCACCCACCCCCTCCCCATTCTAGCACCCATCATCAGCATGAATACCACTTTTACCTAGCTGCTCCTAGTCACTGGACTCGAAATGTTACCTCTGTTTCCTCCCCATCCCAGGGAAAAGACACTTGCCATTCACCTTATTTACATCCCTCTCGATTTTACAAACCTGTATAAGGCCCCCCCTTAACCAAATATTCAAATATACTCACCTGATCATTTTGGTAACTATAATATGAAGTTAGATATTCGTGTAATCAATAGAGTAACCAATTTGCACAACATAGTGTGATTCTGCATAATCATGGATAGGGTTATATTATGGGATCATAGAATCACAGAAGCATACAATAGAGAAGAGCCCCTTCAGCCCATCAAGTCTGTATTGCCAATTTTATTGTATAGCTGCACTCATCCCACTTTCCAGCACTAGCCATAGCCTTGAATGTTATGACACTTCAAGTGCATAGCCAGGTATTATTTAAAAGTTGTGAGGTTTCCTGCCTCAACTACCCTCCCAGACCTGCTGAGTTTCTTCAGCAGTTTCTGATTTTATTTGTTTCAGATCTCCAGCTCCAGGGATCCTGGCAGCTTCTGCTCAATTCTTTTTGGAGATGATCTTACAAACGTATGGACAAGGAATGGATGCCTGAGCTGCTCCACTGTTTAATAAGAGCATAGCTGATCTGTTTGTGTTCTCAGATCCACAAATGCACCTACTCCCAATAATCTTGCACCCCCATTGCTTAACAAAAATCTATCTCGCCCCACCTTGAAAGTATTTAGAGAGACTGCTTCCACCTCCTTTTCAGGAAGAGAGTTCCAAAGCCTTGCAACACTCTGGCAGAAAGTATGTTGCCTCATCTTTGTTTTAAATGAGTAACTGCTTATTTTTAAACAGTGACCTCTTCCATCAGAGGAAACATCCTCTCTACATCTACTCTGGCAAGACCCTTCAAATCTTACCAGCTCTAATCAATCTTATGTTGATGTCCTCTGGATTTGCTCTTATGGGGAGTGTTGCCAAACAAAGAGACCGAGGGGTGCAGGTACATAGCTCCTTGAAAGTGGAGTCACAGGTAGACAGAGTGGTGAAGAAGGTATTTGGTACACTTGCCTTTATTGGCAAGATTTAGTGAGAGGGAAGAACTGAGGGAGATCAATATTAGTAGAGAAGTGGTGCTGGGGCAATTGTTAGGATTCAAGGCAGATAAATCTCCAGGGCCTGATAATCTACATCCCAGAGTACTTAAGGAAGTGGCTATAGAAATATTGGATACATTGGTGGTCATCTTCCAGGATTCTATAGACCCTGGAACAGTCCCTTCAGTTTGGAGGGTGGCTAATGTCACTCCAATGTTCAAAAAGGGAGGTAGAGAGAAAACAGAGAATTATAGATCAGTGAGCCTAACATCGGTAGTGGGAAAAATTCCCAAATCCATTGTCAAGGATTTTATAGCAGAGCACTTAGAAAGCAGTGGTAGGATCAAACAAAGTCAGCATCAGGAAATCATGAAGATTTCCTCATGAAAGAGGAAATCATGCTTGACAAACCTGTTGGAATTCTATGAAGATGTAACCACTAGAGTTGACAAGGGAGAGCCAGTCAACGTAGTATATTTGGACTTTCAGAAAGTGTTTGACAAAGTCCCACATAAGAGATTAATGTGCAAAATTAAAGCGTATGGGATTGGAGCAAGTGTATTGAGATGGATAGAAAACTGGTTGGCAGAGAGGAAACAAAGAGTAGAAACTAATGGGTCCTTTTCAAATTGGCAGACAGTAACTAGTGGGGTGCCATAGAGATTGGTGCTGGGACGCCAGCTATTCACAGTATATATTAATGATTTGGATGAGGGAACAATATGTAACATCTCCAAGTTTGCAGATGATACCAAGTTGGGTGGGAGGGTGAACTGTGACGAGGATGCAGAAATCCTTCAGCATGATCTCGACAGGTTGGGTGAGCAGGCAAATCAATGGTAGATGCAGCATAATTTGGATAAATGTGAGGTTATTCACTTTAGTAACAAAAACAAGAAGGCAGATTCCTACCTGAATGGCTGTAAATTGGGAGAGGGGAGTGTGCAGTGGGATCTGGGTGTCCTTGTGCACCAGTCGCTGAAGGTAAGCATGCAGGTGCAGCAGGTGGTAAAGAAGGCAAATGGTATGTTGGCCTTCATTGCGAGAGGTTTCGAGTACAGGAGCAGGGATGTGATGTTGCAGTTATACAGGGCCTGGGTGAGACCACCCCTGGAATATTGAGTGCAGTTTTGGTCTCCTTTTCTGAGGAAGGATGCTCTTGCTCTCGAGGGAGTGCAGCGAAGGTTTGCCAGGCTGATTCCAGGGATGGTGGGGCTGACGTATGAGGAGAGATTGACTAGGTTGGGATTGTTTTCATTAGAATTCAGACAAATGAGGGGGTATCTCATAGAGATTTATAAAATTCTAACAGGACTAGACAGGGTAGATGCAGGGAGGATCTTCCCAATGGTGGGTGGGTCCAGAATCAGAGGTCACATTATGACAATTTAGGATAGACCATTTAGGATGCAGATAAGGAGACATTTTTTCATCCAAAGTGTGGTGAGTCTGTGGAATTCATTACCACAGGAAGTAGTTGATGCCAAAACATTGACTGCTTTCAGAAAGCAACTAGATATAGCACCTGGAGCGAATGGGATCAAAGGTTATAGGGAGAAAGCAGAATTAGGCCATTGAGTTGGACAATCAGCCATGATCGTGAAGAATGGCCGTGCAGGTCAAAGGGCCGAATGGCCTCATCCTGCTCCTATCTCCTATGTTTCTTTGTAAAACATTGAGTATCAGAGTTGAGATGTCATGTTGTGGCTGTATAGGACATTGGTGTGGCCATTTTTAGAACGTTGTGTACAGTTCTGGCCATCTTTCTATCGGAAGGATGTTGTTAAACTCAAGAGGGTGCAAAAAGATTTACAAGCATGTTGCCAGAACTGGAGGTTTTGAATTATAGGGAGAGGTTGAATAGGCTGGGGATTTTTTACCTGGAGCTTTGGAGGCTGAGAGGTGACCTTATAAAATTATGAGGGGCATGGATAGGGTAAATAGCCACAGTCTTTTTCCTATTGTGGGGGAGTCCAAAACTAGAGGGTGCAGGTAAGTGAGAGGGGAAAGATTTAAAAAGGACCTGATGAGTAACTTGTTCATGCAGGGGGTAGTGCATGTATGGAACTAGCTGCCAGAGCAAGTGATGGGGGTGAGTACAATTATAACATTTAAAGGGCATCTGGATGGCTATATGAATAGGAAGTGTTTAGAGGGATATGGGTCAAATGCCGGCAAATGGGACTAGATTAATTTAGGATATCTGGTCGGCATGGACAAGTTAGACGGAAGGGCCTGGTTCTATGATTAGGGACTAGGTCAGATTGGGATGTCTGTTTCCATGTGTATGACTCCATGACTCCATGACAAGAAGAAGCATTTTCTCTGTCTCTATCAAAACCTTCTATTATTTGAAAGGCTTCTTTCCAGTCATTACTCATTTTCATTAGAGTATAAGATGTGAGCATCACTGCCTCTCAGCAATGGCTGGGGCAGTTTCAAGGGCACTTCAGAGTTAACAACATTGCTGTGGTCCTGGAGTCACATGTAGACAGATTAAGTGCAAATAGTATATTTCTGAGATGTGATTTTTACAACAATGCAACAGCTATCATTACTGCTACTAGCTTTTTATTACAGATACTTTTCTAAAATCTCCCAGCTGCATTGTGAGAATTTAAATTCACAATTTAGATATAACTGTGTTTCGATGATCACTTCGCAATGGCTCCCTATAAAGAGACCCAGTCAGTTTGTCCTTTCCAGTCGGAAATAACCTTGCTTTTCTCATTTCGATCTATGTTGTGATGATTTGTGCATTTATTTTTTGCGGTATAACTTTTTTAATTCTCACTGAAAAGATGATGACAGTTTCTCAGGTATCCAAGAATAGAATAGAGGTTATGACTGAAAATGCAATACCAACAACAATTGCAGAAGAAACCCTGGCTTTCAATTGCTCCTTCACGCTAAGCAAGATACACCTAGCAATCAGCTGGCCACCAAGAGTAACAACTGAGGACAAAGCTCCACTAACCAGCGAACAGAGAGAGATTGTTAATCCCCTGTGATGAATAGCCCCTGTCCCAAATGTGACAACAGTATAATTCAACTAAAACCATCACCAGACTATTGGAGCAGTTAATGAACCCAGGAACCACATTCGGAGGCTTCTCTTTACTTTCATTTGAAATTTCTGTGGATTTTTTTCCTCCTTTCGCTGACTTGGACTGAGGATCAATTTCATGAGTACAGCTTGAGGCAGCTTAGTTATTTCATACAAGTCTCAGTGGTTAGCACTGCTGCCTCACAGCGCCAGGGACCCAGGTTCAATTCCACCCTCGGGCGACTGTCTTTGTGGAGTTTGCATATCTGCGTGGTTTCCTCCAGGTGCTCCGGTTTCCTCACACAGTCCAAAAATGTGCAGGTTAGGGTGGATTAGCCATGCTAAATTACCTGTAGTGTTCAGGGATGTGTAGGTTAGGTGGGTTATAGGGGATGGGTCTGGGTGGGGTACTCTGTGGACCAATGTGGACTTGTTGGGCCAAAGGGCTTGTCCCCACACTGTAGGGATTTATGGATCTATGGAATACAAAGATGTGCCGGTTAGGGTGGATTGGCCATGCTGAATGGCCCAAGTGTCCGGGAATATGTAAGCTAGATGGGTTAGCCATGGTAAATGCAGGGTTACAGGGATAGGGTAGGGGGTGGGCTAGATGGGATGTTCTTCGAAGGGTTGGTGTGGACTCGATGGGCTGAATGTCCTGCTTTCACACTGTAGGGATTGTATAATTCTATTTAGGCACAAACCCCCTCAGTGGTCACAATGGATAGGGAGGACAGGATCCCGAATAGCACAGCACATAGCATGACTCAATTTGTCATTGATTGAATGGATCAGGAACACAATCGGTTAGCTCATATAAGTCAACAACTTTTGCTTTTCTCACAGAATTGTTAAGGTGCAAAAAGAGGCCATTCATCCCATCTTTCCTGCACTGGCTCTTCAAACGAACATCATTGCCAATGTCTCACACACAGTTTCTGAACAAGTAGTCATCTACTGTCCCTCTTAAATGGCCCAATTGAACCTGCCTCCACCACACTTCCAGGCAGTGCATTCAAAGCCCGAACTACTCGCTGGGTGAGAAAGAGTTTTCTCACATAATCCCTCATTTTCTTCGTGCATCATTTTCAGTTTACACCCTCTCCTTTTCTCTTTAAAGAGCATTAACAGTTTCTCCCTGTCCACTGTATCCAACCTGCTCATGGTGTTTCCCATCAGCATTGTGGAGCAGTGATCAAGAACCAGTGAAGCGCTTGTATTTAGATAGCACCTTTCACATCCTTGGGATCATCCAAAATACTGTAGAAACGTAGTCACAGGATAGAATTGTGCACACAAAGATCCCACAAATCGTAATGTGTTTTTTAGTGTTGGGTGGTGACACATCCATACCAGGAGATCAAAAGGGCATAGCATGATTACTTGGACAAAAATAGTTCATGAAGCTAGGGGGGGAAGCAGGAGATTGGCACTTGGCATTGATGCTCGTTTAATGAATTGGTGCAGGCACAATGGGCCGAATGGCCTCCTTCTGCATCACAGCAATTCGGTGATTCTGAGATCAGCGAGGACTTTCATGCACTTCAGGTGAATAGTGCCACAGGATCATTTACACCCACCTGAAAAGGCAGACAGCAAGGAAGCTGTCTCCTGAAAGTGAAGACAGGGCAGCACGGTGGCCTAGTGGTTAGCACTGCTGCTTCACAGCGCCAGGGACCCAGGTTCAATTCCACCCTCAAGTGACTGTCTGTGTGGAGTTTGCACATTCTCCCTGTGTCTGTGTCTGGGTTTCCTCCCACAGTCTAAAGATGTGCCGTTTAGATGGATTTACCGTGGAAAATTGTCCGTAGCATCCAGGGATGTGTAGGTTGGGTGGATTAGCCATGAGAAATGCAGCGTTACAAGAGTACAGTAGGGGGTGTGTCTGAGTGGGATACTCTTCAGAGGGTTGGTGTGAACTCAATGGGCTGAATGCCCTCTTTCCACACTGTAGGGATTCTATAATGCTACTGTTCAGTGAACCCTTGATGGTGATTGAATGGCCAGTCTTAATTGGTGATGAATGAGATCTCACAAACAAACTCATTGTGTTGGCAGATCATGTGCCCGTGGTGCCATGGCATTGCTCTTCCTCCTTGGAGCCACCTGGACCTTCGGTGTTTTGCACATTATCAAGGGATCCATGGTGACGGCGTATCTGTTCACTATCTCTAATGTATTCCAAGGGATGTTCATCTTTGTATTTCTCTGCATCCTATCAAAGAAAGTAAGTGTTACTTCTCAACAAAACGATAATCCTCCCACAAATGTGAAAGGGGATGAATCTTTTTCACGGATGAGAGAGTGGGGGCGTCAACATTATAACACTAATTGCAATTCAAAGCAAAAGGGAGATGAAGCAACACATACAGCACCTTTTATAAACTCAGGATATACCAAAGTATTCTACAGCCAATGAAAAACATTTGCGGAATAGGCAACGTGGGAAATATTGGAGTTAATTTGCCACAGCAAACCCAACATACAGCAATTAAATAAATGACCAGGCATCGTTTTGTTTTTCACTCATGGGACATGGGCATCACGAGGTGGCCGGCATTTTATTGCCCACGGACAGCAAGAATTGCAGGTGCTGGAGTCTGAGATAACACAGTGCAGAGCTAGAGGAATGCAGCGGGCCAGGCAGCATCAGAGGAGCAGGAAAGTTGACGTTTCAGGTCAGGACCCTTCTTCAGAAAAAGGCTCCCTTTCCAATCAACTCTGGCCAACTCCTCCCTCATGTCTTTGCAGTTCCATTTACTCAATTGTAATACCGTTACATCTGATTCCAGCTTCTCCCTCTGAAACTGCAGGGTCAATTCTATTATATTATGGTCACTGCCCCCTAAGGGCTCCTTCACCTTAAGCTTCCTCATCAAGTCTGTCTCATTACACATCACCTACCCTAACTAAAGTGCTGTACAGCTCCAATATATCCTCCCTGTTCTTATCATCTCTGCCTTGACTGATAAATGCAGTTGTTCTGTTTGGCTTCTTAATCACTCTATTAACCTGTCTTGCCACCTTCAGGGATCTGTGGACAAGCTCCTCAAGATCCCTCTGTCCTTTTGAACTTCCTTGTATTCCATACGCCTTCCTATCTACCTAGCTTAATGTTTCAAAACATTTGTGTACATGGGTCCGCATAACCTTTTTATGAAAATAATACTTTGATTGCATCTTTTCATAACAATATGCTTTCCCAGCTGTAATTACGATATTATTTACTGAATATAAAAGCATTAGAACAGTCTTGAGAGTTATTAGAGCTTGCTTGGGTTTTGTCATACCCAAAAGTACTACCTTCTGAATTACCTATCTGTGTGTGAATCCATACCAAAGCTAGCAAAAAAAAACAAGTTACGTTCCTGCCCTTCATACCGTGCTGGTAAATTGCATCTTTCGTGTCTCATTCAAAGCATCTACCAGCTTTACTAAGTAACTAAAGAATAGAAGAGTGAAGGAAAACACTGTTGCTAATACAACAGACAGAAGCGATTCAGAATGATTACATTCAGAACTAAGATGATTGCAAGGCATTTGTCTTCACGAACATTGGCTAGATATTGCCTTCACCACTGATCTGACTGTGTGCTTTCTCTCATAGCTTTCTGCAATCAACCCCAGCACATCCATTGACTGTGTTAATAGTCTGTTTTATTTCTCCTTAAAGGTTAATTGCTGAAGGTTAACCTTGCAGTAATAGCTTGTGGCAAGATCATTTTGGCAGAAAAGGTCATCATCTAACTAAATAGCAAACAGATTTGAAATCACTTTTCTGGTAGCGTTCTTATCCTCATTATTGTTCCTATTTAACAAGGATTTCGTGATGGGTCCTGGCACACAATATACATTCTGCTGTTCAAAGTTTATTGATTCGGAAAGGTATGTGTCAACATTAGCTGAGATTGACAACATTTCTCTTAATGCTGCAATGAGGAGATAACCAATTATAGTGAGCAAAAGGTTCCATCATCTCCACAAGGCAAGGTCAAAGTGTATGAGTATATGGCATGTTAACTGTCTGATCAATATTTTCAGACATTTCCCCTTTAATCGATACTATCTATTTTCTTCTTAGTTTTGGGTCTCATTTTCCTCATGTCAACAGAGTCACTTCACTCATCACTTTGATTTTCAGCTGTTGAAGCTTAAATATCAAAATACTTCATTATCTCGTATATAAATGCCTATCAGAGGTTCCTGGTAATCATAGTACATAAAGAACGCATTCTGGCAACTGTTTCTCTCCCTGAAGCACAGAAATAGCACATTCGGGCAACTGCTTCTCTCCCTATAGCATAAAAAATGCCATTCAGCCCCATTGGCCCAGACTAGCATTCATGATCCCTTTGCATCTCCTCCCACTTTACCTTCATCTTACCCTATCAGCATCGCTCTTCATGAGAATCCCTGCACTGTGGAAGCAAGCCATTCAGCCCACCAAGTCCACACCAACCCTTCAAAGGAGCATCCCACCTGGACCCACTCTGTCCTTGTAACCTTGCATTTCCCCTGGCTAATCCACCTAGCCTGCACATCCCTGGGCACTATGGGCAATTTAGCATGGCCAGTCCACCTAACGTGCTCATTTTTAGATTGTAGGAAGAAACCAGAGCACCCAGAGGAAACCCATGCAGACCCGGGGAGGGCATGTAAACTCCACTCAGACAGTCCCTGAGGGTGGGATCAAACCTGGGTCCCTGGTGCTCGGAGGTAGCAGCGCTAACCACTGAGCCACTGTGCTGCCCATTACCTATCCAGTACTTCTTTAAATAAAATGCTGTGAAGTCCCATGTTCTACCCTTCTCCAGGTAATGTTATTCCTCCCGAATTTTTCATTGGATTTGTTAGTGACTGTATTGTATTTATTGGCTGCCATTAACTTCACTGTCTCTACAAGTAGAAACATCTTTGTTATCTGAATCTACCCAAAACCCTTTATATTCTTAAAGACCTTCCTCAGTCTTCTATTTCCGAGAGAATCAAGCCCTAGCCTGTTCAGTCTTGTTGATGGCAGTAATCTCTCAGTTGTAGTATCACCCATGTAAATCATCATTGCAACTTCTCCAGTGCCCCTATACTCTTCTTATCACATGGAGACTAAACTGTATGCAGTACTCCAAACATGGCGTAACCAAGGTTCTGAAGAAATTTGTTCAGTTCTAAAGTTGGGGAAAGGAGCCAGAGCTTGGCTTATGCTATCTATGGCCTTGTCAATTGATACATTTGATTATTTCTGTATCCTTTGCTCTTCAATCCCAGTTAGAATGAATTAAAAGGATAAAGTTATTAACCTCATTCTTTCAATGAAAGGGGTAGTTTGGAGCTAGGACCAAAGCAAATATTAATTCACATTCTCTAGCTTCATCTCACCTTGAGAGAGTCAAGATTAAGACTTCAGTTTTGCGACAGGGTTCATTGATGCCAGATTTGGTCAAATGCTGCTTTGATGCGAAGGGCAATCATTTTCACCTCTCCTCCTGAGTTCAACCCAATGAAGTCAGAAACTGCCAGGTTCTGGTGGAGTCCAAGCTGAGCATCAGTGAGCAGAACTTATTGCTATGCGAGTGTCACTTGATAGCATCGTCAATGACACCCTCTGTCACTGAGTTTAGGATCAAGAGTGTCCTGATGGGCCAGTTTAGATTTGTCCTGCTTCTAGTGGGGAATTTTCTGCATTGTCAGGTAGATGCCAACACCGTAGCTGTACTGGAACAGCTTATCTCAACATGAGACACAGTAGAACACACGTTTTTAGTACTTCATCAGGAAGTCTCCAAGGCCTATCATGTGTGCAGTATCCAGAGCGTATAATTAAAGAATCAGTCAATGGGGGGATGGTGATGGACTTATTCCAATGCTACATGTTGTCATGAAAATAAAGTCACTATAGTATTACCAGACCATTGGGCTGCTGCTTCATGAGAGGGAGATGATTGGTGGTAGTTTAACCTGAGGAACACCACACCTCAGACGAGGGGAGAGGTTGAGAAGGAGAGTCCTTCATAGTAACCTCAGCCAGTGATGAGAATTGAACCCACACTGTTGGCATCGCTCTGCATCACAAACCAGCTATCCAAGCTAATCTGACACCGCCTGTGTTGTTATAATCTACTTCCTGAAAGGACAGTGGCATTTGAATAGATATGGCTCAGTGGTTAGCACTGCTGCCTCACAGTGCTAAAGATGCAGGTTTGATTCCAGCCTCAGGTGACTGTCTGCATGGAGTTTGCACATTTTCCCTGTGTCTACGTGGGTTGCCTCCAGTTTCCTCCCACAGCCCAAAGGTGTGCAGGTTAGGTGGGTTGGCCATGCTTAATAGGCCTGTAGTGTCTAGGGATGTGTACGTTAGGTGGGTTAGCCATGGGAAATGCAGGGACAGGGTAGTGGCATGGATCTGGGTGGGATGTACTTCAGAGAGGTGGTGTGGACTCAATGGGCCGAATGGCATGCTTCCACACTTTAGGGGTTCTATGAAAAGGCAAACCGTTACAGGGTTACATGTATGCAGCACCTTTCATGATCTCTACACATCCTAAAACATTTTACAGCCAATGAAATACTTGACAAAGTCAATGTTGTAGGAAACATGGCATTGAGTAATTCTTTCAATGAGGCAACATGGACATAATGAACCAATTGTGTTAAATTCAGTAATTCTATTTGTTTCATACTTTGTGTCTTGAAAGCACAAATTAAATAACGAGCAAAACTTATTTCTCTTTTTGAATGTATTTCACAGATCCAGAAAGAGTACTACAGATTATTTAAAAATGTGCCCTGTTGCTTTGGGTGCCTGAGATGAGGTGGATTGAAGATGAAAGACGAAGATGAAATGGAAGAAGACAAAGAGAAGAAGGGATGCATTTCAGAAGAGCCACAAGCAGTGTTGATTTGTTAAGAGATTATAATTTATTTAAAGCTTTAAATTGGGTATTAGATGGGATGGAGGGGGCACTGTGTGCAGTATTCCATGGAATCTTTACAACTCAACATGTCTCCAAATGTACTTGTTTCATCCTGTAGCTTTGAAATCTGTTTACATAGCTTAGATTGTTTGTGGAAACAGCAAAGGAAAGCTGTGAGCCTTCCTGTGATGTTCCTCACTTACCGGAGATTTTTAAACAATTACACCATCAAAACAACCAGTCAACAGTGTAGAGGAATGTCATCTTAAATGCACAAAGCTACATCCACCAGGACAGACAATTATAACCTTTAAGTTTACATTTTAATACTTGCAGTAAAACGATTCCTCTTGTAATGAAAAAGCAGTCAATTGCCTGTTGCTCGCTGTGGCCACTGGGGAAGGGAAATCTCTGAAGTTCACAGTTTTTTGAGAGTGTGACCTGATAATTATGGAATAAAATCAGACCTTCTCCCCGCTTTCATTAAATGAGGGTTTTCTTCCCCTTCTCTCTCCAACCTAGCGCAGTTCTTCTTATCAAAAAAAATGGAGAGGAAATGAATCATCTCTTGGTGAATAATAGAATTAATACAAAGGAAGGGTGAATGCGGAGAAGGATGCATAAAAACTGGTTTCATCATAGCCCAGAGGAATGCCACTCAGCCCATCATTAGATGTGCAGCCCCTTTCTATCAGGCTGGCAGGTACAGGCTAACACATTCTTCATTGCATCAAGTAGTTTGGTATCCTAAAGCAACCTGCACTGGATCCCTGTCTGGTATTATCTACAGGGCACTACATAGCCTTATTGTGAGATTAGTCTCGCCAGCACAGTGGGTACTTCTTCATAAGAATGTTGCAGCGATTCAAGAAGGTAGCTGATCCCTAACTCCAATACTCTGGACTTAATATTGAGTTCAACACCTTCAGATTGTGAACTCACTCCCACTTCTTCCCTTTCTTTAAGCTTTACTTGTTACATTCTCTATCATCATATCCTCTCTCCCCTCCACCCACGTCACTGTGACTGTCTGTTCTTTCCAGTCTGGCAGTTAGACACACCAACGTTCTGTCATTCTCACATTCCGATCTGCAATATCAACACCCTTTCTCCCCCAGCCCTCCACCCCTCAATCCCCCACTTCATGTCAGCTCTGATGAAGAGTCATCTAGACTTGAAACGGTAGCTTCCTCCCTTTCCATGCATGCTGCCTGACCGACTGTGATCTCCAGCATTTGTTGTTTTCAGGACAGTAAATGATAGTCCTACTGAAATGCCTATATCCCCCAAACTACCAATAATATTGACTTGCCTGTCACACTATCAGCTCATCTCACTTTTGTTTTCTATGGGATATGGGTATCATTGGAAAGGTGCATCATTGGTTGCCCATTCCTAATGGACCTGAACTGGGCAATTTAAGGATCTACTATATTTCTGTGAATTTAGAGTCACATGTAGGGTAGACCAGGTAAGAATGGCACATTCCAGTAATTCAGTAATTCACAGTGGTTTAATGGAAACAATCATTCAATTTTGTTCATTAAATTTAAATTCCACCAGTTCCCTGGTGGGATTTGAACCCTTGTCATCAGAGCATTGGCCTGACACTCTAGATTATCAGCCCAGTGAAATTGCTACTTCATCACTATCTCCCAATCTGATTATGAACTACAGCTGACAGTGATGGAGCAATGAACCATTAGCCTTCATGCCTTCCCCTCCAAGTTAGTGAACTCTGCAGAAATCTTGTGGAAAAATGTCCAACAAAAAACAAAAAATGTTTCAGATTTACTATGGTCTCTGGTCTTTCATGAGAAATAGGGATAAACACAGCTAAAGTATGAGACAGATTTTAGATGCTTGATTGATGCAAAGTGTTGACCATGATAAATTTTGCAATTTCATGACAATCATTTCATTGGCAAATGTGAAGGGCCATTCAATACTGGCAACCTTCCAGCTATGAGATAGGAATCTGTCTAAGCAACAGCCCTTTAGAACTGAGATGAGGAAGATATTGAATCTGTTGAAACTATTGTCACAGAAATCTGTGGAGGCCAATTCATTGAGTGTCTTTAAGACAGAGATCGATAGGTTCTTGATTATGAAGATCAAGGGTTACAGGGAGAAGGCAGAAGAGTGAGGCTGAGAAACATGCCAACCATGATCAAATGGTGGAGCAAACTTGATGGGCCAAATGGCCCAATTCTTCTCCTATATCTTACGGCCTTAATGTTTGGTCAACATTGTTTGAGGGACAAGGTCTCGAGTGCAACCCATTTCTCTTAAGGTGTCATAAAACAAATTAATTTCTGCCTGCATAAGCAAATGAAGCCTCAGTCTCTACCAAAGGATATTAGGAAAATCTTTCCTGCTGTCAGGTGTAGGACCAGACTACAGCATTAACTTTGCACCCTCTATCCAGCAATTCAAAAGCCAGTTGTGTTTCTAACTGAGCCAAGTTGGAATGCAGCAATAAGTTGATAATGTTACAATATGGGCCCATTTGTGTTACCCATTGTGGAGTCAACTAGTCCATTGTGCATGACAATCAGAATACTATAGCTGGATGCTTCAATCTGTTTCTTTAATATAATTCCCAGTGAATTTTAATTAAAGATGTAATCCATTTCAAGACATGTTTTGATATTCATAATCAAATAAAAATTTCATAACTTTAATTTGAAAACTTTCTTTGGTGAATATAACACCAGTGTTAAATATCAAACAAATTTATTCTTTCAACTTGTAACTAAACAATGATTGTACCTTGTGATTCAACAGATCGACCTTCTTACCAAGAAGTCAGGTGAGGGAAAAGGCTACAGTTTAATGAGAGATTTGAGGACTAGGTTTTGTCATGAAGAGGTTCAAAACATTGTTGAAGGGTTTTATAACATAAATATACTTATCTGGAAATAGGAATTGTTGGCAAAAAGTAAGACCAGGCTCATTTGCATTTGTGCTTTCTAATTAAAGATATTAAGTTGGTTTCTTGGGTGATTCATGTAAATATACAACAGCAAAAAAACTGCTTTGCATAGTTTGTTCCTTTCACCGCGGTTGCTGAATTGCAGAGTTGATGGCGAATCCAAATTTTTCGTTGATGTCAGCCCAGGTTTGGTGAGCTCAGAGACAATAGTCACTTCAAGACTGCCGTGCAGCTTGCCTGTTTTTCAAATCTTCATTGTTGGCAGATCAGAATCCTAGAACTTCCTAGTTGACAGTGCTGTCGGTGGATCTTTATCAATAGGACAAGCGGTTCAAGATGGTGGCTCACCACAGCTATCTCAGAGAGAAGAGAGAATGAAACTTTGGGAATAAACACCAAGGAAAAAGACTTCCAGTTGCGGTATCCATGGGCCAACAAGAGCCACTCTGTTTGATTTTGCCAAGGACATGTTTCTCTATGACTCTATGACTGCCACTTGTCGAAACATACAATACATGAATATGAAAGGTTTAGAGCGATATGAGACAAATACCGGCAAATGGGACTAGGTTAGTTTAGGATATCCAGTCAGAATGGACAAGTTGGACTGAAGTCAACAAGGTGTAGAGCTGGATGAACACAGCAGGCCAAGCAGCATCAGAGGAGCAGGAAAGCTAATGTTTTGGGTCTGGACCCTTCTTCAGAAATGACTGAAGGGTTTGTTTCCATGCTGTACAATTCTATGATTCTGTAGCTCCATGGATCAGTGTCAAGTATTGCCAGTTTAGGAAATCATGTCTGTGTCATTGAAGGCTCCTTGTAGAATCAAATAAAATCACAACAGAAAGCACTGGCGTCCACATTCAGCAGTGTGGTGCAGTTGTAGTGTCCAACCTCCAAACCAGGAGGTCCAGATTCAAGTCCTATCTGCTTCAGAGGTGTATCATCAATTGTCTGAGCAGGTTGATTAAAACACATCCAAGTTCAGCAGGCAATAAGGAAGACAAATAGACTGTTGACCTTTATTTCAAAGGGAAAGGAGTATAAAAATAGGGAGGTTTTGTTAAAACAATACAGGGCACCAGTCAGACCACTGCTGGAATATTGTAAACAGTTTTGGGCCCCTTATCTAAAGAAAGATAGACTGGCATTACAGGTAAACTAGGGAAGATTCAATAGGATGGTCTGGGTTTGAAGGACCTGTCTTAGGAGAGGTTGAATAAGTTGGGACTGTACTCATTGGAATATCATAAAATAAAAGGTGACCATATTAAAGCATGCAAGATTTGTAGAGAGAAAAACAATGAAAATTCGAAGGGAACTTGGTGGGTAGATGCAGAAGGTTGTTTCCCCTGTATAGGACCAGACTGTATAGGACCAGAGGACATAATCTCAGAACAAAAGTACACATATTAAAGACAGAGATGAGGAGGCATTCTTCTCTCACGGGGTGGTGAGTCTTTGGAATTCTTTATTAAAAGGGGCTATTGAGACTGGGTCATTAAGGATATTCAAGTCTGAGGTAGACATTTTTAGTCAGTAAGGGAATCAATAGTTATGGGGAAAATGCAGCACTATCGAGTTCAGGTTTACCACATCAGCCATGATCTGATTGAATGGCAAAGCAGACTTGATGGGCTGAATGGCCTATTTCTGCTCCTCTGTCTTATGAAAGGCAAAATGCCTGAGCCAGCTAAGAAGTGGCAATCCCACGTTATCCAACTTTCAGATTCTTGGTTACGCACAATGTATTTCAAGTCTGCCTGAGGGTTTCTGGCTTAAGCATCCTTCCTAAAGCACCACCAGCCTCTGTGTGAAACACTTTCCCCTCAGGTTTCCCTCAACTGCTTACCTCTTAGCCTAAATCTATGCCCCTGTTGATAGACCCCTCGACCAAGGGGTTGTCCACTCTACATTGACTTTTGACCTCAAGATTGATATCCATGCAAGAACCAACAAAGCAATATCAGTCTTCAGTGTGGACCTCCAACCCCATAAACACAGCCATGAAGTGGTACCAGTACATGTCCATTTTCGTACCAGCTTAAAATTATGCAACAAGACATGGACAAGAACAGCATAAGGGTCATGTAGACTGAATGCCTTCCAGCAGGTGCTGCCTGGACATATGATCCTGGACATTTCTCGGAATGACAACAATGAAGAAGTGTTACGCAGGACTGGTTGGAGGCACTATGACAGTGATGCACGGTACATGCATGACAGTATGGGCACCACCATATGGGAAAGGAAGATGCATTATCTAAGGAACACCTGATAAAGTATGTTTAAGCAGCACGTCCTAGAGTGAGAAACCACTTTCGCTGGAGCAAAACAAATTGCAATTGCTTAGGGGCCAGTAGAGGAATCTTGCTGCTCATTGCCCCACACAGGACTAAAAGAATCAAGTCTTAACAAATCAACTTCCTCCATTCCAAAGTAAACACTCCTGGTCTACCTAATCTTTACTCATGACCAGGATAAGGTAGTGAGGGACCCAAGACTCCCCCCTTCATCATGCAAGTTCTGAAAATGAATTGGAATATCCTTGTGATGGAAGGAGTCCAATAGAACAAAGCAGTGCCCTTTATAAATTAAATATAAATTGCTCTCACAGCAGTTTAGGTATTTGCCATTCGCATTAGGTAATAGCCTTTCCTCAATAGTTAGCACGCGTGGTTTCAGAATCAGAAGATAATGGATTTCAAAGACGTGAGCACAATTCCAGGCTGCCACTCAATTCCAAACTGGGTGCAGCTCAGTTGGGGGTGCTGTTTGTTTTTTGGGTAAATTTGAACCTCACAGGTCGATGATGAAGATCACTTTGTACTATTTTAAAGAAAAGCAGGAGTCTCCCTCTTAGACCCCCGACCAATGTTTGCAACAAAACCCATGATCATGTCATTACTTCAATGATATTTGTGGAAGATTGTTGAGTGCAAATTGGTTTCTGCTTTTCCAAAATTACAACGATGACTTTGCTTCATAGAGTGCTTTATCGGTTACAAAACACTGGGGACAACTTCAGTTCAATACAAATGTTTATTCTTCTTTCTCAGTAGAGATTTCAGCCAGCAATAATTGAATTAGTTACTGCAGCACAGGTTTGGAACATGGTATTATATTTTATTCTGAACATTGGACATTAGGAGGTGAGTGTATAGTGCTGTATGAATTTACCTTTCAAAATTGAGGCCGTCAGATCAGGGGCAAATTCTCCAGAATTTATTTCCATTGAAAGACTTAAATCAGAAAAAGGTTGAAAAACTTTTACTTCTACTTACAAGCCACAGGCCTGAGTGTTTAGGGATGGCTTTCATTATGCATAGGCAGATATACATTTAGTGAAGGAAAAACTCTCCATATAAAAACTCGTACAATGTTTGTAAAAACCTAAATTGTTACAAATATAAATAACTGCTGTCACATACATTTGTATACATAGAAAAAGAACATAGAACAGTACAGCACAGTACAGGCCCTTCGGCCCACAATGTTGTGCCGACCTATTATCCTACACTAAGATCAATCTACCCTACCTTTTACTATCTTCCATGTGCCTACCCAAGAGTCGCTTAAATGTTCCTAATGTATCTGACTCCACTACCACCACTGGCAGTGCATTCCACGCACCCACCACTCTCTGTGTAAAGAACCTACCTCTGACATCTCCCCTGTACCTTCCTCCAATCACCTTAAAATTATGCCCCCTCATAATAGTCATTTCCACACTGGGAAAAGGTCTCTGACTATCCACTCTATCTATGCCTCTCATCATCTTGTACACCTCTATCAAGTCACTTCTCATCCTTCTTCGCTCCAATGAAAAAAGCCCTAGCTCTCTCAACCTTCCCTCATAAGGCCTGCCCTCCAGTCCAGGCAGCATCCTGGTAAATCTCCTCTGCACCCTCTCTAAAGCTTCCATGTCCTTCTTTTAATAAAGCGACCAGAACTGAACACAATATTCCAAGTGTGGTGTAACCAGGGTTTTATAGAGCTGCAGCATAACCTCACGGCTCTTAAACTCAATTCCCCTGCCAATGAAAGCCAACACACCATAATCCTTCTTTACAACCCTATCAACCTGTGTAGCAACTTTGAGGGATCTATGGATGTAGACCCCAAGATCCCTCTGTTCCTCCACACTGCCATGAATCCTGCCATTAACCCTGTATTCTGCATTCAAATTTGACATTCCAACATGAATCACTTCACACTTTTCTAGGTTGAATTCCATCTGCCATTTCTTTGCCCAGCTCTGCATCCTGTCAATGTGCCGGTGCAACCACAACAGCCCCCCACACTAGCCACAACTCCATCAACCTTCGTGTCATCGGCAAACTTTCCAACTACTACCTCCCTCTATCTTCTATTGGACAGCCAATTCTATACCCAGACATCCAAATTTCTCTGAATCCCATGCCTTCTCACTTTATGAATGAGCCTACCATGGGGAACCTTATCAAATGTCTTCCTAAAATCTATATACACTGCTCTACCTTCATCAATGTGTTTGGTCCACATCCTCAAAGAAGTTAATAAGGTTTGTGAGGCATGACCTGCTCCTCACAGAGCCATGCTGACTATTTCTAATCAAACTGTGCTTTTCCAAATAATCGTAAATACAATGTCTCGGAATCCTCTGCAATAATTTGCCAACTACAGAAGAAAGATTCACTGGTCTGTAATTCCCCAAATTATCCCTATTCCCTTTCTTGAACAAGGGAATAATATTTGCCACTCTCCAAT